GGGAAAACCTTTTTATGGAAAGTTGTTGTCCAGCCCTATTAATAATAATACTTCATTTTCCACCCAAAACCTGAAAGTTTTCAGACAAAAAGGCAAAATTTTCCACAGGGGTGGAAAAAAAATTCCATCCAGATCTAATTTTTAAATATCTGAAACTAGCGTCTCAGCAACGTCTGGAGCAAATGGTCTCTCTAAGGATTCATGGGTTGCAAGGCGAGGAGGGACCACTGTGATCTAGTCTGACCTCTGTATCACACATGCCAGAGAACTGCCCTGAAATGATTCCCAGAGCCGAGCTTTTAGAAAAACAGCCCATCTTGATTTTAAAATGGTCAGTGATGGAGAATCCACCATGACCCTTGGTCAATTGTTCCAATGGTTAATGACTCTCACCGTTAAAAATTCCCACCTTATTTACGGTCTGAGTTTGTCTAGCTTCAACTTCAGGTTCGACCTTCCTCCGCTGGATTGTAGAGCCCGTTACTGAATATTTGTTCCCCATGTAGGTACTTATAGACTGTGATCAAGTCACCCCTGAGCCTTCTCTTGGTTAAATTAGACTCAAGGAGCTCAATCCATTTATCACTCCAAGGCAGGTTTTCTCCTTCTTTCATCGTTCTCTTGTGACCCCTCTCTGATTTGTCAACATCCTTCTTGTGTTGTGGGCAAGATCCCAGCAATGGTCACACCAGGGCCAAATACAGAGGGAAAAGAACCTCTCTGCTCCTACTCGAGATTCCCCTGTTGATGCATCATCTCAGGCTGGCGTTTCCCCTTATGGCCCCGGTGTCACATCGGGAGCTCATGTTCGGCTAGTTCTCCACCAAATCTCGGTCAGAGTCACTGCTTCCCAGGATAGCGTCCCCCTCACCCTGTACGCACGGCCTGCATTCTTTGTTCCTAGATGTATCCATTGACATGCAGCTGTATTAAAACACTGCAGGAATCGCAGGGGTCAGGAAACGAATCCAGTTCTACCCACAAATGAAAATGCAGCATTTTAGCAAGGGCTTTCCACAGTCCCTCCTCCGCGAGGCCAATAGCCACTATCGGAGTTGTACCCCTGGAACTGAACCAGCGACTTCCAGAGCTAAAGCTTAGAATCATAGAATCTCAGAAGATTAGGGTTGGAAGAGACCTCAGGAGGTATCTAGTCCAGCCCCTTGCTCAAAACAGGACCAACCCCAACTAAATCATCCCAGCCAGGGCTTCGTTAAGCCGGGGCCTTAAAAACCTCTAATGATGGAGATTCCACCACCTCCCTAGGGAACCCATTCCAGTGCTTCACCACCCTCCTAGTGAAATAGTGTTTCCTAATATCCAACCTACTAATACAGCCCAATATGCCGTTGGCCTTCTTGGCCACAAGGGCACACTGCTGACTCATAGCCAGCTTCTCGTCCCCTGTAATCCCCAGGTCCTTTTCTGCAGAACTGCCGCTTAGCCAGTCGGTCCCCAGCCTGTAGCGGTGCATGGGATTCTTCCGTCCTAAGTGCAGGACTCTGCACTTGTCCTTGTTGAACCTCATCAGATTTATTTTGGCCCAATGCTCCAATTTGTCTAGGTCACTCTGGACGCCTACTCTCCAGCGTATCTACCTCTCCCCCCCAGTTTAGTGTCATCTGCGAACTTGCTGAGGGTGCAATTCATCCCATCATCCAGATCATTAATGAAGATGTTGAACAAAACCGGACCCAGGACCAACCCCTGGGGCACTCCCCTTGATACTGGCTGCCAACTAGACATCGAGCCGTTGATCACTACCCGTTGAGCCCGACGATCTAGCCAGCTTTCTATCCACCTTATAGTCCATTCATCCAATCCATACTTCTTTAACTTGCTGGCAAGAATACTGTGGGAGACTGTATCAAAAGCTTTGCTAAAGTCAAGATATATCACATCCACCGCTTTCCCCATATCCACAGCGCCAGTTATCTCATCAGAGAAGGCAATCAGTTGGTCAGGCATGACTTGCCCTTGGTGAATCCATGTTGACTGTTCCTGATCACCTTCCTCTCCTCCAAGTGCTTCAAAATGGATTCCTTGAGGACCTGCTCCATGATTTTTCCAGGGACTGAGGTGAGGCTGACCGGTCTGTAGGTCCCCAGGTTCTCTTTCTTCCCTTTTTTAAAGATGGGCACTAGATTTACCTTTCTCCGATTGTCGGGGATCTCCCCCGATCGCCAGGAATTTTCAAAGATAATGGCCAGTGGCTCTGCAGGGTTGCCGTAGCCTGATGAGCCAGCAGAAGGTGCTGTAGCCGAGTTGGACTGGAGTCACAGAAGCTATTGCTGCCGATGCCCCTCACTCCCGACCCGCAGCCCCTCTGCTATCCCAGCCTGGGATCTCCCCTACACAGCTCGGCCGATGCCCCTCAGTCCCGACCCGCAGCCCCTCTGCTATCCCAGCCTGGGATCCCCCCTACACAGCTCGGCCGATGCCCCTCAGTCCCGACCCGCAGCCCCTCTGCTATCCCAGCCTGGGATCCCCCCTACACAGCTCGGCCGATGCCCCTCAGTCCCGACCCGCAGCCCCTCTGCTATCCCAGCCTGGGATCTCCTCTACACAGCTCAGCCGATGCCCCTCACTCCCGACCCGCAGCCCCTCTGCTATCCCAGCCTGGGATCCCTCCACCACACACGGCTCGGCCAATGCCCCTCAGACCCGACCCGCAGCCCCCCAGTGGCTGCTGCTAAGGAGGTGTCTCCCTGAGCTGCGTTCTGGGGGGGGCTGTGTAACGATGCGATTCTGGCGGGACCCAGCGGAGAGTGCCAATTCAGGACTAATTGCTAAAACAGGGCAGTTACAGCCCAAGGCTGGGGTTTTTCCACCTCTAAGGCAAACCAAACCAGCCAGACTAAGAGGACTTTGGTCTCATTCCACTGGCTAACCACAAGTCACACAAGCAATTCCCTTAGACACTCCAGTTTCCCAGTATCACCACCAGTGCCACTCATTATGGGGATAAATGGTTATGAAAACCAATACCCCAGTAAAAGAAAAAAAGGTTCTTCTGATCCCAAAGGACCAAGCCCCAGACAAGACAGATCTTACCCACAAATCTCGCTGTTGCCAATCCTTTAGAATCTAAAATCTAAAGGTTTATTCGTAAAAGGAAAAAGATAAGAGATGAGAGCTAGAATCGGTTACATGGAATCAATTACATACAGTAATGGCAAAGTTCTTGGTTCAGGCTTGTAGCAGAGATAGAATAAACTGCAGGTTCAAATCAAGTCTCTGGAACATCCCCAGCTGGGCTGGGTCATTCAGTCCTTTGTGTAGAGCTTCCGTTTGTAGCAAAGTCCCTCCAGAGGTAAGAAGCAGGATTGAAGACAAGATGGAAATGAGGCGTCAGCCTTTTATAGTCTTTTCCAGGTGTAAGAACACCTCTTTGTCCTTACTGTGGAAAATTACAGCAAAATGGAGTCTGGAGTCACATGGGCCAGTCCCTGCATACTTTGCTGAGTCACAAGGCGTATTTGCCTTCTCTCCATGGGTCAATTGTGTAGCTGATGGTCCTTAATGGGCCATCAAGCAGGCTAGGCCGAGCTAACACCAGTTTGTCTGGGATGTCTCCCAGCAGCACAGCATAAGTTTGAAATACAGACAGTATAGAGCCAATATTCACAACTTCAACTACAAAATTGATACACACATACAGACAGCATAATCATAACCAGCAAACCATAACCTTGTCTTAGACACCTCATTTGACCCCCTTTATACAAGATTTGGTGCCACTACTGGACTTTGGTTGCAACCATGTTCTATATGGTCCCAGATTATATCAATAACGTCACAGGCTGTGATGGGTGATTTAGACCAAGAGCTCTCTGAAGTACAACCTGTGTCCTGCTTTGTGCTTGTCCAGAATCTGGCACCACGGGGGCCTGGTCTCCCTTGGTCACTAGGTGATGGATCGCGATATCTGAGCACCTGGGGGTTGGCCAGGACCCCTGGGCACCCCCCGAGGGGACGGGAAACTACACAGAACAAAGCAAACTGGGTTTCAGCTCCGGTGACCACGGTTCTAGACCCGCAGGGTCCAGGAATCGGGTCGGATCCTTCACCATAGCGGGGAGCCCTCTCCCAGCCTCCCGCGGCAGTGCCCTCCAGTGCAGCCCCGTGCGCGTCTGCAGCCAGGCCATGTAGCTAGTGAGGGACCTCGGTTATTTCCTCCATCCAAGGGGGTCGAGGCCGGGAGGGACCAGCAGCTCCCGTCTAGCGCAGGCCGCCCAGGTGCACTTGGTTCCCAAGCACTTGTGCTGTGTAGCGAGCACAGGCAAAGCAAACCCAGAGGGCGTCAGCGTCACCCAGTCTGCTCCAGCGCAGGGCAGAGCAGATACAGGCCAAAGGTCCTGGCTGGGACGACGACTCCTTCACACAGGCCTGATAACACCCTGGTTTATGATCGCTAGAGTAGCAAAGGTACCTATCTCACCAGATCTATCCCAGATAAGAAATTAACCCTTTTATATCTTGGGCCAAAACGTACAGAGTGAGTGAGGGTGTGTGTCTTTTCATTTACTTCAGTAGGCTTTGGAGAGGGTGGGGCTGAGGGCCAGGACTCCTGGGTTCAATGCCTGGGTCTGAGAGGGGAATGATGTCTAGTGGGTTGGGGGCGTTAGGAGCCAGGACTCCTGGGTTCTATTTCCTTTTCTGGGAGGGGAGTGAGGTGTAGTGGTTAGAGCAGGGGGTTGGGAGCCAGGACTCCTGGGTTCTATTCCTAGCTCTGGGTTGGGTGTAAGACTGATTTCACTGGGATTTGGGGGCACTCAGCTCCCACAGAACAGTGGGCACGGGCACCGCGCAGCGCCAAGATACGGACCAAAGAGCCTTACTTTAGGCAACCGGCTCTGAACACTTTGGCCCATTTGCACGTTGCCAGCGGATGGGGAAAGTGAGGTCCAGAGAGGAGAGGTGTCAACGGAACCCAGGAGTCCCGCGCTTCTGCTCGCCACTGCTGTAACCACTAGTCCATCCTTCCCTCCTCTCCACCACTCAACACCCAAATCAACAGTTAAATAGGATGTGGGAGGTCTCGTGACAGCCCATCTCGCCCGAGCAGGATGGGACCAAGCCCCAGCCCCACAAAGAGTTAACAGCAGCCAAACTGCGCAGGGACTCAGATCATAACCAGCTCCCTCCAGCTTTGTTTTATGTGGGGCAGAACCCAGTTGTTGACAAAGGCTGAGAAACATTGGCCCAGGCCTCGGGTTTCACTAGGACACGCCCGTGCGACGGCACAGGTGCCTGATGCAGTGCGGTGCTGCCGCAGCTCAGCATGGCTTCTCACGGGATCACTGTCCGTCTCCTCGGCGACCCGAGCTCGGAGCCCGCCCAGGCCGTCCCGCACTCAGGGCAGGGGTACCAGGAGCTCAAGCGGCAATGCCTGGAGCAGCGCCGCCTCTTCACTGACCCGTTCTTCGACGCCGTCCCCAGCTCACTTGGATACTGGCAACTCGGACTTGGGTCGGAGAATATTAAGGGGCTGGAATGGAAGAGGCCACAGGTAGGTCTGATGCTTTCGCAGCCAGTCACTGCTCCCTGCAGGCAGGGCTCCAGGGTCCTCTGCCACTGGCTCCCTCCCCGAGGAGAGGCAAGATGCGAATTCCCACGAGTCTCCCGAGGACGGGAGGATGCCACGCTGCTGCCTCTGTGGGGAGGTCAGGAAGCAAAGGGAGCCAGGTGGAGTGGGTCTTTTTAGCACCTAGTCTCCCCGGCCAAGATCAGGGCCCCGTCGGGCCGGGCGCTGCCCAGACCCCGGCCGAGATCGGGGCCCCGTCGGGCCGGGCGCTGCCCAGACCCCGGCCGAGATCAGGGGCCCCGTCGGGCCGGGCGCTGCCCAGACCCGGCCGAGATCGGGGCCCCGTCGGGCCAGGTGTAGACTCACAAAGTGAGAGAGTCCCTGCATCTAATCTGAGGAAGCCTGGCCTTGTGGTTAAGACACCGGACGCAGAATCAGGTTAACCGCCCCCAGCATGACCTTGGACAAGTTACTGCATCTCTCTGGGCCTCAGTTTCCCTAGTTCCAAAATGGCCTTCTAGGAGCTAGTGTAACGAGTAACCACAGCGTCTCGTTCGTCGGGAATTGGGATGGCAGAGGAGTGGTTGCAGCAGCCCAGAGCACAAACAAAGCTGTCACTTAACAGGCCAAGAATGCAAGTCTCTAATTAAGAAGGCGACTCGTTTTCTTAGCCTGGAGTCCCCGTTGCAGCACAGGCAGCAGTGTCGCTTCTGGTTGTTTGCTTTAGGATTAGCCAAATGATAAGTGATTTGTTTCAGTAATCAGAAACCGGAGTCGGGCAGAGGTTAGGCTGTCTCCAGCGGCGAGCGCTGATCATGACCTTGCAGGAGCTCTGACGGCTTGAGGCAAGCTCTCACACCATTGTCACAGGGACCCCAGAGCTGACTTGAGTCCAAACCAGGGCTTGGGTTCCACGCAAGGTGTGCTAGCAACGATTTGGCCTGGGATGGTGGAAATCTTGCAAGCTCAGCTGCAAACGGGAAACTTCCCATCCGCTGGAATGGATGAAAGGTCCTGAGACCGGCCACACCCCATCTCTACCACGCCCCCACAACAGTGGCAGGTCGTTTGCTGCTGAGGCTACGGTTGCTAGTGAAGAATGCACTGTGCACAGAGGGGTAGGAACAGGGATCGATGGCTTTCAGATGAGAACACAACATCTGTAGTGTTCCCCTTCTTCTGGCACTAGTATCCCACTACTGACACCAGTATTGCCCCGGTGCTGAATGGCCGCAGGTGTCTGGAGCCCAGCAGTTTGGCTTCCCCTTGAGGGAGAAATCACTGATGTGGAGCGTGTGTCTATTCTAGGTGTAACTTGCCTTACTCACATCCATGCCCCAGTCTTGATACGAGATGGTCAAACAGCATGCAGGGCGATACCTTGTCCTGGGAATCAGAGACCAACGCCAGTGCTCATGGAGCAGCTCATGGAGCAACTCTGCCTCAGGAACTGACACTCAATAGTGCGAAAGGCAGAGAGCACACTAGCTGGCTACTCTCCCAGCTCCCTCTCTCCCCAAGTTGCCTCTCTGCAAAACCCTTGTGTAACCCCAAGCTAACAGCTACACAGCATGTCTGCATGAGACTCAAACCGTTGCTTGCACACTCAGAACTTGGAAGACTACGTGTAACAGCGCCACCGGGTGACACCTGCCATCGCGGTATCAAAAATGACGAATCAACCATTCATTCCTCTCCTGCTGTATAATTTCCATGCTGGACTTTACTCCCCAAACCAGAAAGCTCCCGTCTCTATTCTGTCTTGCAGGAAATTTGCAGGTCCCCAAAGTTCATAGACGAGGACATGAGCCGGACTGATGTCAAACAGGGCAAGCTGGGTAAGCACCTTCTCCTCCCCTTCTGAGCGCCCTGCGCGTGGTTTCATCTGCCACCTTGGACGATGTGCAAACAGGTGGGCTGCAAACTTAGCCCCCCTGGCAGAGCCCTCATGCCACCCTGGGGTCAGGAGGGAGAGAGACATGGGTCTCCCCCCAAGAGAGGTGACGGCTGGGGAGCCGGGAGCGGGAGAGCAGGTGCCCTTGCTGGACTAGAGTGGGAATACAGGTACAGTTGCCCAAAGCGGTGACAGTGAGTCTGTCTCTGAGCCAATGCAACTGGTTTACTGTAGCTGTTAGCGCCAAAGGTCGTGGGTCAAATGATCCCATGCAACAGAACTGTTCAAATCGACTCACCTCTCCAACAGGCAACTGCTGGTTCCTGGCTGCAGCCGCGTCTCTCACCCTCTACCCACAGCTCATGCAGAGGGTGGTACCCAGGGGGCAAAGCTTTGCACCGGAGGACTATGCTGGCATCTTCCATTTCCAGGTGGGTTGCCCAGCCTGCGGGACCAAAAGGGGGCTGGTCAGGGGAGCTGGCGGATGGCGCTAGCAGAGGGGGCATTTCCCCACCTGGTGAGGGGGATGGCTCGGGCAGTTGCAGGGTGGTAGCCTAGGCTGTGCATTAGGAGTGAAAGGGAGTCTTTACGTCAGGATTGGCACGTTGGGGGCCCCAGGGTGCCACTGCGTCAGGTGCTGTCCATCCACAACCAGGGCCGGCTCCAGGCACCAGTGCAGGAAGCAGGTGCTTGGGGTGGCCAGTGGGAAGGGGCGGCACGTCCGGGTCTTTGGCAGCAAATCGCCGGCGGGTCCCTCAGTCCCTCTCGGAGGGAAGGACCGGCCGCCGAATTGCCGCCGAAGAATGAAGCGGCGGCAGTAGAGCAGCCACCAAAGTGCTGCCGATCACGGCTGTTTTTTTTTTTTTCC